TTGAGAGTCAATGAGGTAGGCTGTCCCCAGACACAGGCATATGTAAAAATCCCCCCTCAACACAAACTCATTTTTCTAAATTTTGGTTTTCTTTGCCTCTTAAAATACCATACTCCCCCAACAGATTGTGTCCAAATGATCATTTGTGACTATTATATCCATTTGTTCTCTTGTGATACCTGGGATGGAGACACACACAGGAAGTAGAACATTTAAGAGTAAAAATATCCCACAGTATTACATCCCACCAAGCCTTTGTCCTCAGGTTCTACCACCAGTGGGACAGTAAAGGCCTTGCCCCAGAGTGCCATGGATATCATTCACTATTGATATTTTTCTGATTGTATCTAATTGGCCTTTTCAAAAGTCTTCCACTGCTAGTAAAGCTGCTTGGTTAGCTACAGAACTTGAAAGAAGTAAAGTAATAGTTTTAATATAGGATGTTACAGTGAAGTACATTTTGGCATCTTATTTTGATCGTCTGTAATGCACATGGTTGGCGGTTTGAAACTACGAGCAGCTCCGTAAGTGAAAGATTGGGCTTTCTACTTCCGTAAACAGTCACCGTCTCGGAAAGCCACAGGGCCTCACTATAGGACTCGGTGGCTGCGAGTTTGGTTTTTTGGCTTTGTCTAAAAGCTGGCCACTTAGTGCTAAATCCGGCTCTTAAGTTGAGCCTTCTGTGCTCAAACTATTAAAAAAGTAAACACCCATGATTAAGCACGTGTTTTCTGCTTAATAAACAATTGCTCTATACAGTCCTGGGCCCTGTGCAATTAACCCTAGGTCACCCTCATGCCTGTGATATCTGCACAGGTGGATTACAGGACAGACAGGAAGTCCATGACCACCTAAGGTTGCTTATGAATACATGCAGTGTATTGGATAGTGTCCCCAGGCTAACCCATGTTCACACCATAAAGCCCGGAACCTCTGAATGTGACTCTATTTGAAGAAAAGATCTTTGCAGATGGGATTAAGGATTTTGAGAAGTGGTGATCATCGGATTACCAGGTGTGGGTCCCACAGCTATTAAATGTCCTTCTCAGAGACACACAGAAGGCGACAAAGAAACAATGTGAAGGCAGAAGGTACAGATAAAACAAAGGAACTCAAAGCCAAGATTTACTGGAAACCAGAAACTGGGAGAGACCTGGGGCAGATTCTGTCCCTGGAACACCGGGAGACAGTGTATGCTTGCAAACAACTTGATTTCAGACACTGTCCTCCCAAATTGTGTGAGAATACATTTCTTTTGTTTTAACCCAACTTGGTGGTGATGTTACAGCAAATACAGAAAGCTGACGTTTTTGTCTGGAAATGTATTCAGAGTATTCACAGGCAAATTCTCCAGCGTGGGATCCTGGGAGAGGGTGTGGAATGCACAGCAGAAGGAAAAGGACTGACGTAAGCAGAGCTGAAGACCGTAGACCTATCCTGTGAAGTCCTAGCGCCTATAGTCCCCCTGCCCACTCCGTAACTGGGTCACGCCTAGTCCCAAGGCTCTTCTGAGCCCTAGGAATGTCCACCAAAGGGTCTTCGCATGGCCTGCACCCGTGTTTTCTGAGATGATCCAGGTAAGGTTTGGTGCGTCTCTGCCATGCAGAGGTCTCCTCTACTCCCCATCCCCTATTCATCTTTTTCCCTCCATGACTCCAAATCCACCTGATTAAAAAAATTTTTTTTTATTACTCCCCTCTATGAAGCCAAGCTTATTCCAGGGTCTTAAACCCGCTTTGTCAAATCAGAGCCCTTTGGAAGGTACAAGGAATGGGGCCAAAGAGTGATCCCAGAGATGTCAAGTGAGCAAAAGGTGACTTATAAAGGGATACACCCCCCAAAACACCGGATGTGATGTGAGGGGGATAGCGTGTTTGGGGTTCCTTCCACCAGGCCAGACTATTAAACTTTCTATTCAGAGGCTCTGAAGAATCCTTAACAGTGTGTGACCAAAAGAAGCCTGATTTGTGGCAGATAGGGGACTGGTTTTGCCATGAAAAATGCAGCCATTCACACAGACATCTCAGTGTGTCAGTTTTTGACCAAAAAAACCCCCCAAAAACCCAGCATGCCATTCTTGCCTCATGCACCTTACTCACCTGATCTTGCTCTGTGTGACTTTTTTGTTTCCACAAATGGAGAGGGACATGAAAGGACAGTGATTTGACAATGAAGAGGTGAAGAAAAAAAAAAGGTGTTGTCAGAATGGAAACACATGTTCAACAAGTGAATGGAGAGTACTTTCAAGGTGTTTTGTAAAAAAAAAAAAATTTAAATACATAGCTTTGGGAAAAATAAATTGCTTCTCCTGTGCTACACTGGCCATTCCCTATGTGACTTTGAACCCTTTCTCTGAAGTGAGAGGTGGCAGTGGGGTCTATATGATGAGTGGTCCTCCGTTATCCCTCCGGGGTATGAAAAAGCACGCCTGGAGGTCTTGAATAAAAAACAAGGCGTGCTTCAGATGTCCTAACAACCCGTCTGAACATGTCCTCCTTTGCTCTGGTCTCATGCTTATTGTGATGGTTAGATTTTGCCAATTTGGTAGTACCTATGTGGAGGTGGGGGTAGAGCCCAGCCTACCAATCAGGTCAGACTGAGATGCCTGCTGAGAGGGAGGAACCTTTTCATGAGACCTGGGAACTGCTCTTGTTCCTCTTCACTTACTTCCGCTTGCCTGGACTGCCTTAGCTGGTTCTGGACAGCAAATTCTTTCTTGATAAAAGTCCGTTTTTCCAAGTTGCTGTTTTTCTTGAGAAAATCCAAATATAATTTAGCACCCAGGATACAGGGTTGCAGAGAAACAAATCAAGTGTAAGGTGGAGGCACGTCTGCTCTTCGATGGAATTTCCTCCTTCTCTGGAGAGTCAAAGGTCAGCTATGGCCCCAGATTACTCATTTACTATCTGGAAAGGGCATAGGAAGCGAAGCTTTTGACCCTTTGGTTATTAATGGAAATGACTGAAAGGAATGTTGTTAGGTGCCATCTAGTGGATGTTAATTGCAGCTTAGGGTGAAAAGTGGCCATGCCATTTACACAGAAGGCTGGCAAGAGGGCCAGGCCTGCTACATACACCCTGCCACAGGCCTACGGCCACCTGTGTATGGATGGGTGTTCTGAAAAAAGTAATTGTTTAAGTTCTGACTGTTCTAGGATTTTTCATACCTACTGTTATAGACATAATGTGATAGAAATGGATATTGGAAATTACATTAGAAAGCTTGTAAGCTCACTGCACCCATCCTTTACACTTTGACTTGCTACAAGGGGAATTAGTAGAAATAAACTTCTTGTCATTGTAGAGCAGGGGCTTAGCTTTTTAAAAAATTTTATTGGCATATACTGCACATTTCATAAAATTCAATCACACTGATATTTGTGCAATCAACCACAATCAAGTTCATACATTTTTCTTCTCATACTTGTCATTAGCTCATTTCCCCCCATCCTTCCCTGCCATGTCCTTTACCTATCCTGGATGTCACAGGCACCCTGGTGCCGTGATGGTTATGCACTGGGCTGCAATCCACAAACAAGGTCCAGTTAGAAACTGCTTCTCGGGACCAAGATGGGGCTTTCCACCCCTGTAAACAGTTACAGAGCCCTATGGGATGAAAGCTATTTGAACCTGTAAGCCGGTGCATACCGCTTGCAGTTTGAGATGACCTCCTCTAGATTTGACTCTGCTTATGAAGACACAAAGTTCCAAGTAGAACGATTATTCATGTCAAAGAACATGCTTTCTCCTCAAAGCATTGGGTTAATATGAATGGGCAATTCAGAAATTGGCTATCTAAATGGGGGGAGATAAAGGCACGAAGTGTCTGCCTTACAAATTTTTATGGCTGTCTTTAATTTCAAATAAATGGAACAAAGGAGACTCCTTACTGAATAGTTTGATCTTTCTCTAATATGCTCAGAGAATAGGGGGGGGGGGAGATGACTGTTGATAGGATTTTATGATTCAGGTGTAGGTGAATGTTCACAATAGTGGAATTATAAGGCATCAGATATATTTGTTCACTTATAAACTATCAGATATAAATGGGGCCATTGCATTTTCAGTGGTACACATTTCAGTTGAATTCTGTTAGGTACAATTGGTGTATAGGTGCCAAGTAAACAAGGGATGGTCTCTGGCAGTTAGATTTGATGTCAACTTGATGGTACTTATGTGGAGGTAGGAGTGGAGTCTGACCTATCAATCAGGTCTCAGAGCTTGATGCTGCCTTCTTGGGGTATAGCCTGTTTATGAGAGCCATTGGGAACTTCTCTCTCTTGTCGCTCTTCACCAATTTACGTGGATTGCACATCTGGCCTGCCAACCCTGGGAGCTGTGGCACACTGCCATGTTCCTGTAGACCACTGGTTCTCAACCTGTGGGTGGCTGACCCCTTTGGGGGTCGAATGACGCTTTCACAGGGGCCGCCCAACTTATACCATTAGCAAAATTACAGTGATGCAGTAGCAACGAAAATAATTTTCTGGTTGGGGGGGGGGTCACTACAACAAGAGGAACTGAATGAAAGGGTCGCAGCATTAGGAAGGTTGAGAACCACTGCTGTAGACCCTGGATTGATAGTACTCTGCACCCATTAGTTTGTGATGTCCCACACCTCCCCACACGCATGTGCAGAGGGCTCCAGCTAGACAGGGGCCACAGGCTTGAGGTGGGCTCACTGAGTGGCTCTCTTGATACATTCTTTCTCGACGTAAAACTCTTTCTTATACACGTGTCACTAATTTTCTTTAAAAACAAACAAAAATGCAGCCTAACACAATTACTTATTGTAAACGCACCCTCCTGTGTCTAACCCTTCAATGAACTGTTATAGGGCCCTTGAGTCCTTAAATGAAATTAAAGCCTCAAACTCCCTATCCTAAACTGAGCAAAATCCCCTCAGTACCAGGCCTCTGTATGACAGTACCCATGAGGCTCCCACACACTGGGGAGATCCACTCGACTTTTCCTTCAGAATCCACCTGGCCAGAAAGGGAGTAAAGTGGCAGGCACTATTTATTTTGATTCCTCCTGCAGAACCCATAGCTCACAAGGGATGTATGTGTGGATTGTGATAAGAGCTGTACGAGCCCCCAATAAAACGATTAAAAAAAAAAAGAACCCATAGCAACAAGTCCACAGGCCTGTAACAATCCCATTTTCTGTGCTGCAAGCCCAAGTCTCTGACCAGTAAACAGAGCTCAGTCAGCACTCAAGAAGACCCTCTTGCGTGCAGTATTGGTGTATGGGTGCCAGCGCCACTCAACATCCGCGGTAGCCTCCTGTTCCAACGTGCCCAGGCGAATCATGTACACTGGAGGGAGCAAAGGAAGGGACGTCAATACGCACACTGCCAGCAACCCCCTCCTCTTTCAATGGACATGTGAGATAAAGCCCTAGACTTACACTTTAGCTCAAAGCGAGGTCCAACTTCAGTCAGCTCCACATTGTGGTGGTCCACCTTCTTGTAGGTGTGGTGTCTAGGGTGAGGAATGGAAGCAACTGTGTGTTAACAAGGAACAGTACAAGGGACACAAAATCCAGGACATGATTCCTGGGGACTCGGCTCACGAACCCACCGGAATGAGATGTAGTCATCTTGGTTTGCAAAAGTGATGATCCTGTGGCTGTCATCTTTGGGGACAGGGAACAGGTATTTCAGGATGTCAGAGACCTGGAGTAGAGAAAAGGGAAGTGATGAGTGCTTGGCCAAGCCTCCTCCCCACCCCTCCCCCCACCCCCTTTCCTTCAGACTCACCCTTTTGCCCAGGCGGGAGGAGAAACCGTGCATAATGAGGTGGGGCTTGGCTTCTGACATTGTGCCCAGGTCAGGGATGTCATGTCGCATGACGACGTTGCAAAGGGTGAAGTATGCAGTGGGGCCGAACGGCAGGTGGCTGATAATGAGGCCCACTGATGGGGCCAGGAGGGAGGTCAGGATTTGTGTACCCTTACAGCACTTGTCTTATGCCCTGCTCCCTCCTACCCTGGCTCACCTGGCATGCCACGGTGCTCGTGAACCACCAGCAAGTCGGTTACTCCATTGGCTTTGCAGGCTCGCACTAGCGCGCCTACCTCATGCCGGCCTCGGTTCATGCGCTGTGCACCAGGGAACACCAGCTTCAGTTCCTAGATGTAAACAGGTCTCTCAGGGCTCATTCTGAGAAGACAAGTTAGACTACTTGGCCCACTCTTGCCTCAATGTTTCCTAAGCCACCAGTACCTTTGCAAACATCTTGAGGCGGGAACTGGGATCTCGGGAGGTGGTGATCATGATCTTGGGGTCTTCAACCCCTGCCCATCGATATTCATCATCCGCATGGCTGGTTACCCCTGCCAAGAACACGAGGAGTGAGAACTTGATACTGTCTAGGGAAGAATGCTAACTCCGGGGCAGCTTACATCTATCTAAAACGGGCTGTTCCATAAAACCTTCAATGTGAGAATCTTCCATGCCTCACTGGGTAATGGGGTACCTACTAGCCTTAGGGGCTACTGAGCATTTGAAATGTGGCCAGTGCAGCTGGGGATCTGGATTTTTAAGTTTAGCAAGTCACCAGAGCTGGTGGCAGCCATATTGAACAATACAAGTCTATATTCGACCAAGACCAGAGCTGACGGACTCCTGTCCCTCAGGAAATATTTACAGTGTTAATGATTCCTTTCTTATTTGCTGAATCAAGCAATACATAAAATATTTGGGGGCCAAAGATGGACTACAAACAATGAATGAACATGGCTGTAGAGGAATGATCAACAGACAAAGCAGAGGTTAAGTGGGTGCTATTGTACCTGCCATTAAAATGGCGTTGGAAGAGGTCACGAGAACCCTTCTGAGAGAGAGATCTGTGCAGCGCCAAGAGGGCACTTGGGAAATGGGTTCAGGAGCCCAGGAACGGGAGCAGCACAGCCTTTCCCCCAAGGTAGGCAAGTGCTGGGCGTGCCTGGCAAAAGCTGTGGAGGCTACAACAATGGAGTGTGAAAAGGAGTTGGTTCACAAGGTTGGAGGGCCAAACACAGTCACCTTCACCACCAGCATCATCAAATTCCAAGGACCCCTGTAACGCTAGAGCCTCACGACGTAACTCAGTGGGAATCAGGCGGTTCTCTGCAAAGAGAAGACAGAGGGACTGAGACACAGGCACGGAGTCCCCAATTTATACAACACTCGTGGCTCACATACATACACATTTGGTGGAAACACCTTTCTGAGCACAGCTGGGATATACAATAGGGGCAGGGGAAGCAAAACTTGTCTCTATGCCAAACATTGGTTATAAGGATTCACTTGTATGGTTCTTGATTCTCAGGACTTGAGATCTTTCTTGAATATTTTATTACAAGTACATATAGTACATATTGCTTTTATAGTCAGAAAAAGTTATTTTCTTTTTGAGAACATATACAGCAAAAGCATACACCAATTCAAGTTTCTACATGTACAATTCAGTGACACTGATTATATTTCTTTGAGTTATTCAACTAACCACGTTCACTGTTCATTTCTGAGTTGTTTCCTTCCCAGTAACACTTGTTGCCCCTCTAAGGTTCTGATCTAATGTTGCCATTGACAATCTGATACCACACAGATAGATCTTACAAGAACATAATGCTCAAAACAGACATTCTTTAATAGTTAAGCTACATTGTGGTTTGGGTTTACGAATGCATAAGGCGATATTTTTAAGGTTAAAAATTATCTTAGGGCAATAGATTTGGGGTTCATTCATCCTCTATGGATTCAAAATGTCTAGATTTGAAGTTTTGTTCTGCATTGCCCCTATGTGATCAGGATTGTTCTATAGAATCCTTAATTAAGACGTTCATTAATTGTTGCTGGGTGCCACCTGGTTCTTCACGTCTCGTGGTAAAGAAGTCTCACGGAAGCAATTACACATTCCATTTCCTACTTCCACTCAGGACTCCTTGCTTTCCCTGTTGCTCCATGCAGATGCCTGCTTGCTTTTTTTTTTTTTTAAACCAGAGGCATCACTTAATAAACTACCAAGCAGAACAGAAGCACTAAGCATATTAGGCCAATTAACTTCTTACAACTTATTGATAGCAATTACATTAATCAAATGTACAACCCTGCCCTTTATCAATGTGAGTTTTCCGTTACGATAAACATTAAGCAATAACATCATTTCCCCCTCTTTCCCTCCCCCTGACCCACAGTTACCATTAATAAATTTTTGTCTCTATACATTTGGCTATTCTTTTCTTCTTATGTCAGTGCAGTCATATAATACTTTTCCTTTTGTGATTGACTTCTTTCACTCAGCATAATGTCTTCAATCCCATTCATATCATAGCACGCATCAAGACTTATATTACTTTAAAAATATATATGGGCTGCTGCTTGTAAGTAAAGGAAGGCTGAAAAACCAAAGCAAACCAAACTCACTGTCATCGAGTTGATGCTGACTCATAGTGACCCTACAGGACATGGCAGAACTACTGGTGGGTTTCCAAGTAGACAGCCTTTCTTTTTCCCAAGGGTGCTGGTGGTTTCACACTGCTGACCTTGCCTTTAGCAGGCTAAAGTGTAAGCACTATTCCACCAAAGCTCCTGTTCAACTAACACAACCAACAAAATAGGGATAATCATGGTATTTTTCCTTCAGGATTATATAACAGACTCTTCACTCCTACTTCATAACATAATTAAAATATGATTTTACATTGATTAACAGTTCAAAAACACAAAAGAATCATAACAGTATTAAAAGAGAAAGAAAATATCTCTGTAACCTTGTACCAAAGACAGCAAGTAGAAAAACCAGGGAAGAACATATCTATGGGACTATGTTAAAAACAAATTAATTTGGGAAGAACTAAAGTTAATAAACTATATAGCGAATTTAAATAAGAAAAAAACCCCAACAACCCAGGTATTGACCAATAAACTAGCCTCAGGGTGACCCTAGGTGCTCCCCAAGGTTTTCAATGGGTGGCTTTCTAGAAGCTGAAAGTTAGGCCTTTCTTCCAAGACCACTCTGGACAGACTCAAACCTTCTGTTCGGCAAGCCAGCGCTCTAAGTTTCAGCCACCTGAGCATTACGACCACTCCCATCACGCCTATCTGACTCACAGCAAGCGACCCGGTATGGCAGAGAGGAACTAGGGTCTCCTGGGCTAGAAATCTTTAGAAAGCCGCTGCTTCACCTCGTTTCCTCGGGGCTGCTGGTGGGGTTGAGATCGCTGACCTTACAGCAAGCAGCCCAACGCTTAAGCCACTGCACCACTTGGGGACACCGAAAGCCCAAAAAGCCACCACCACCATCATATAGGACACTTGCAACGCAACCAGCTGGGAAGACCCCAGCTGAGTCCCATGGGACGCTCATCACTGATTTTACCAGCCGAGGACCCCGCGTCGCTCCCCGCCGGGGTGGGGGTTTGCGTACCTTCGAGCGCGCGCCGGAGCCGCTCCTTCTTCTCCTGGGCGGTTCGCTGCGCTTCCTCGCGGGCCTTGCGGTACAGGTACTCGCGGCGCAGGCGAGCCTCCCGGCGCAGCTGGGAAAAGGGGCGCCGAGTCAGCCCTCACCCGCCCTCGACTCACACCCCCAGCCCCGCGGGAGCCCCGAGGCCCCCCAAGGAAGCCCATTCCTCCTACCATCCTGAGCGCCCCTTCCACGTGGGTTTCGGAGCGGGTGGCCTTTTTGCACCGGCGCGACCGAGCCCTGCTTCCGCCCGGCTTCCGCCCTCACGCGGGCAGGCTGGCAGAGGTTCTGTCCCAGGCGAACGTCTGCGAGAAAACGTCAGAAAGGCTCTAGTCAGGGCCGCAGCGCGTGCTCAGTAGAGCAGTCAACTTGTGGATTGTCCCGCGGCGCAGGCGAGCCTTTCGTAAAGATGTCGCCCGCCAACGCTTAGGTCTGAGTCTAAGCGTGCTGCAGCCTTGCAGGACGCCTCATTTAAAAATGGCGGTTTAAAACAATACAAAACGGAGGCTCAAAACAGTCCGTTCATTATAAAAGTTGCGTTCTCATTGACCAGAGGCTCACCCGCTGGAATTAACTGAACAATACCACCTTTGAGCAAAGTGGTGCCGTACGTGTTTCACTCCCTTTCACCCTCACCGAGTTGGTAGACGTTCGAAACGCGACCGCTGCCGGAAGTGACAGCGCGCTTCCGGTCTCGCGGCCAAGCCGGCAGTTTGGGGCCTTTACTCGCTTCCCCCCGCCCTCCGGAGAGCGTCGGAGGCGGGCGCGATGGGCACGCCCTCCCAGGGCCTCGTGCGCCGGTTGGCTGTTGTGCGGCGCGGCGGGCTGTGATTGGTCGAGCTGAAAAGAGGCCGGCACTGCACGCCGGCCGCGTCGCGGCTCCACCTTGTTTGTGTAGTGTCGGCCATGGCAGCCGCAGACCTCCGCGCCGAGTCGGACGCCCTGCTCCTGCAGCTGCTCCAGGACCTCGAGGAGCTCGAGGGGAAGCGGGCAGCCTTGAACGCCCGAGTGGAGGAGGTGGAAGCGTAGGGGAAAGGGGGCGGGCAGGTGGCCTCATGAAGGTAAACTGAGGCTCACCGCTGCCCTCTCTTCCCAAAGGGCTGGTTCTCTCTTTCCAAGGCTCGTTACACCATGGGTGCCAAGTCCGTAGGACCTCTGCAGTATGCCTCCAGTATGGTGCCCCACTGTTGCGTCCGCACCCGGTGAGGATTCATGGAATGGGAGGCTGGGGCACGCTGGGAGGCCAGGAAGGGAACCAGCTCCCACCCATCTTTTCTTGTCCTTCAGTGACACGCAGGACGGACTTCAGAAGTTATGGGTGGCGAGAGCCATCGCCCAGATCCCAGAGGAGTTGGGACCCCATGAACCAGGTGGATGTCCACTCCCAGTCAGTGCCCCTTCTTGAGGTCAAAGATCAAATAAAAGTGCGCCGGACAGTCCAGGCGATGCTTCCTCCCCCCCCCCCCAGTCTGCTGTAAGAGAGTGTGCCCCAAATTAGAAGTTCAAAATACCACATCACGGCCTTTTTTTTAATGTAGTTGGCATGGTTTCCAGAGCGTCAGCTGAACAGGAGTGCTGCCCTATCTAGCTAGTTTCAAGGAAATTGACTTATCATCTTAACTTATCAGACACAAATCAAGGAGTTGTAGGTCTATGTCTGATCTGTCAACAAAATCAAACAAGAGTCTATTTGGCCTGGTCCTAAATAAACAAGGGGGCCATCTGGGAGTTGAGGTGGGGGGTGGGGTGGGGATCATGTGGAAAAAATGGACATAGATTCTTAACTAAGTAATACGGGGAAAGGTAGATCTTTGTAGTCTAGCTCTTTCTTGGACCAAAAAAGATTGTTGGGATTTCTCAGCTATTGCTATTTTCTGGATTACAAAACTCAGGAAGTTCAACACTCATCACCCAAAAGACAAGGACCAGGGATTAAAACCACCATCACCTGACTTTCTTTCCTCAGCTCTCCGAAGGCGCAAGGGCCTTCCCAAGACTCCAGAGCCAGAGCCCCCTGAAGCACCTGGAGACCCTCTGAACTGGTTTGGGATCCTAGTTCCTCACAGTCTGCGACAGGCGCAAGCCAGCTTCAAAGAAGGTGAGTGGACCTTGCCAGGCAGCTCTGTGGCCCTGGGGCAGACTCTGACACTCTGTCTCAAGGGAACACTTGCCAGGCCTAGGGTAGTTTGGTTGGACATAAGTTGGAATTGGCAGTTACGTCTCACCAAACTACCCTAGGCCTGGTGCTAAGGATATAGCCGAGAACAAAAGAGACAGAGATCCTTTATGGAATACTTATACTAGGGAAACTGGAGTGGCTCATAAGAAAGTACCCAGTATCCATGGCCGAGAGTCACTTGGGATCCTGTAGGACGAAGTAGAACTGCCCCATCAGGTTTCTAAGGTGGTAAATGTTTTACTGAAGCAGCGTGTCTTATCATTGCTCCACATAGTGATAGATGGATTTGAACCAATGACCTTTTGAATAGCAGTCTAAGGCGTAATCTACTATACCACTTGGGTCCTTAATATAATACCAGGTGTTAGAAATTGTGAAAAATGGAACAGAGTCGGGGATGGAGTGGGACGGGTTATTCGGTGGGTTTTTGCACATGTATTGAGAGTAGAAGCCCAGGAGTTGCTGACAGGTTGGTTCTGGGTGTCAGATGCAGCGATTGGTGAAGGATGAGCCCATAGCTTTTTATTTGAAATGCTGGCAAAATGGTGCTGTCCTTACCTATGATGGCAAGGCTGTGGACAGAAATGGGGGAAGTTGGGAGTTGGATCTTGGATGTGGTCAGTGTGTAGTGTTTCTCCAGCATCCAGGTGGAGATAGTGAGATGCTCATGTGTTGATCTGAAGTGTGGGGACACCATGGTGACATTCTCTCTTCTGCCCTCCAGGCCTGCAGCTGGCTGGAGACATAGCCAGCCTCCAGATCCGCATCGATTGGCATCAGAGCCGGTTCCGGGAACTCCAAAAGAAACTTAGACAGCTCGAGCCTGGGGCTGCCTGAACCTGCATCTCTAATCTGGGCATTGAGCACAGCTGTTCTCAGACATGGCTGCCCCAGACTGGGCCTTCTTCCTTTACAGATTGCCCCTAATCCACCTAAGATCACTCTCTGCCCCTCCTTAAAATGCCCCTGGCCTTTGTTTCCAACGTCCTTAGGCGTGAAAGTTTGAAGAGGCAAATTGAGTAATGCTGAAAACCCCAACTTTGAAATCCTTTCTAGGTCCTGTATTTTCCCAGGACACTCAGACGGGCCAGTACAAGATTATCTATCGATATTGGTGAAGAAGGAAAAGCGGCCTCTTGAATACATTAGCTGTGGTTTAGGTGTTGGAGGAAACACTGTACAATGCCATGACAAGAAAGGTTACCTGGATCCTCAAAACCGGCTTCCAGGAAAATAACGTGACAGATTAGGATAATAAGATAATAAATAAAAGTCACCTGAGTAGATGGGCAGCCCTTGAAGTAAAAAATCGGAGATTTTCAAGCGAACTCTAAGAAAAAACTTAAGTTTAAAAAATCTGACGTGCTCACCAGGAGTGAGACCTGTGGAGTTGGAGGTTCAGCTACAGTTCAAGGGAAAACTGGGCTCATCCTCTTTTCGTGTTCTTTTGATGAGAACTCTGTCCATGTCTCTGATTCCATTGTCTACTGGGCTGTTGATCTTGTTGGCAATTTCAAGAAGTTCTATTTGTTTGGGAAGTTCTATTTATTTGTTATAGTATGTAATATAAAATAAAAATACTTTTCTCCAGTTTTTTAAACTGTGCTCCATGGTGTTGAATGACTTGCTTATTGTAAAATAGAACATAACGGGATACTGCACAAGACAATTGAATAGCTTCATGAATAACAGGTGAGTGCTAATAAAGACATGGCATGGAGGCCACATCTGACCTCTGGCTTCAGCAAGAGGAGGAGAGTCCCCAGGCCCAGTGTAACAATGCAGAGGTCAGACATGCCTCCACCCTCCATCCTGCTCTCCTGACAACCAACCATTCCTCTGGCTAGGTTTGATAATCAGTTGCAATGGCTAGAAGTATGGGGTTTAGTAGGGAAGTTAACAGGTTGCTGCAAGCCAAGATTAGAGAACAAGGACCACAATAGCACCCCAGCCGGCAGCCACATCTCTGCTCTTCAGCTTTTCAGTCGAGTGTTCCTTGGCTTCTGCTTTCTTGGGCCTGGAAGCCCACCTGTCATGCTTGTCCTTTGTTCTGTCCCATTAACTTCCTTCCATGGCCTCTGATGCTTCTGAACGCAGCCTGGGTCATTGTAGGTAGGGATCTGGCACATGCTCCGCTGGTGGGTCTTGATGGTCCCAGGATACTCCCTACTTCTGAGGTGCCTCATTTATATGCCCACCAAGCCCCTCAGTCTTTCACACACCTACTTGCATGCTCCCACCTGTCACTTGGGAGTTACTGAGACCTGGATAGAAGAGGTGAATTAAGAAATTGCACTTAACAACTAGTATCTGTCACCAGCTTTATATTTTTTCAATAAACCAAATTTTTAATTCTTTTGATAGCTAATTTTTCTGAGCCAGCTGGTTTATGATTTTTGAATTTGGAATTTTAATTGAAACGGGAAAATGTCAGGTGTTTCTCAAGAGCTGAGATTTCTATTGGGGTAAAGGAATTCTACATTCAAGTTTGTAGTTTTGGCGTTGGGGCAGAAAAGAATTGCTTCACAGTTCTGGCGGCTAAACGTCCAAAGTGAAGTGCTGGCCAGGCCATCCTGAGGAAGTAGCCCTCCTTGGCTGTAGATTGGTCTTCACATGGTTGTCCTTCCTCTGTCTCTCTTTCATCTCAAAAAGAAAAAAAATTATGTTATTGGGAGCTCTTGACAGATACTATAACATTCCAGTGTTCAATTACATCAAGCAGTATTGTGCAATTGCTACCACCATCAGTTTCAAAACATTTTCATTCTTCTTGAACTCCTTAATGTTGAGGCTCCCCTTTATTCCTTGCCCCTCCCTCCCCCCACCCCCCATACCCACCAGGAACTCTTATTTTTTTCACTCATTGATTCACCCTGGCCTCATACGCAGGGATGAGGCTCCCCCTTTAGGTAACAGGCAAGCAGTCCAGCCATTAGCAAAACCAGTGGCTGGGTCCAGGCGAGGTCTTCGCATAGTGAGTGAGTGGGACTTAATCTGTGACAAAAAGCTCTTGCTCCATCGGGATTTTCAATGGCTGCTTTTCCTGCCGGGCACTTATCCAAATTTTGTTTTTCCTATCCTCAAATTTACATTTTCTGTTCATAGATCTAACCTCATTCTTCTTGGATTGGAATTGTATTGAATTTATAAAGTATTGGGAATATTTACATTCCACCGTTCTCCTCCCCCCCCCCATGTTTAGTCTCCTTATCCAGGAACATAGTAGCTTGTTCCATTTGTGTAAGTCTGTTTTTGTTTCTTGTAGGAGTGTTTTGTAGTTTTCCTTGTCTTTTGTTTATCTGGTAGGATTTATTCCTAAACAGTTTGTCTTTTGAGTAGTTATTGTAAATACTATTGCCTTTTTCAATAAGTCTGAAGGCGCTCAAGTCTTAAGGACATTTGGAATACTGGCACTGATGTATGATGAAAATAGTGTCTACCACTCACACGTGGGAATGAAACCTAATAGTTCAGTACAAAAAAGAAAAAGGCATGCTTACAGGGAGTTCCAGAACAACTATGAAGTTACATGTTGCTGCTGTGCCAGGACAGAACAAGTGTCCTCAAATTAAATAAAGAACAGGGCAGAACAAAATGAAATTATTTTGGGGCACCCACAAGCTTTAGGTCTGATGGGGGATGCTGTCGATAACAGTTTGCTAATTCAGGAACTTGCAAACCTGTCTTGTTCTAATGATACCGAACAGGCGGAGACAATCCTCAACTCCAAGGAGGCGACAGGGTGGATGGCCTAGTGTTACCACTAGGTGGCAGAATCCCCCATTCAATAGAAGCAGCATTTGCAGATGAAGAAACAGTGGATAAAGAACAGGACCAGTGGTGTGAGTGGTGATACTGAGAGGGTAGAGGGAGGGTTGGTTGCAAAGGGGGAACCGATTACAAGGATCTACATGTGGCCTCCTCCCTGGGGCTGACAACAGAAAAGTGGGTGAAGGAAGACGTCGGACAGGGCAAGATATGACAAAATATAAATTATCAAGGGTTCATGAGGGATG